AAACCTGGAGCTAGAAACATAGGTAATGCTCTCAGAAGTGATTATCTGTCTTTACCCACCCCCAGTTTACTGACAGCTTCTGAATACCTCGAGCATATATTCTCAGCAGGCAAAGGGGATTTTTCCTCATTTCTACCACAGTAGAAAAAATGGACACCCAAAATTTTGCATATCGTATGGGAAAGATCAGTGCCAAAGAATAAACAATCAGAGGTACTGTTCAATGAAACAGTTTATAGCATAAACTATGTGAAAGTACATGTAATTAAATTATTTAATTTACAGAGAAAATTCACATAAAGTCGAGCAGTTTTCTATTAATCAGAAACAGTAGAAACATGATAAATTAAAATAAAGTGATACATCAAAGTTTAAAAAGTGAGAGAATATTAAATGAGCTGATAGTAGAATGAGTATAATTGAACAGCATTTGCAAGTGAGAAGTTGTGCCTGAGACTAATTGAAGAGTGACTAGAACATAGACAGCTTCTTCTGCTGAAAAAGCCAGAGTAGAGAAGTCACCATTTATGGGATAAGATGACTTAGAGAGAAAAACAGCATTTCCTTGGGTGTGCCCTGAGATCCACGGCAGCATTTAGCCACAAGTTTAAAAGGAAGGTTCATTTCCCAAGGAGGACAAAAGTCTCTCCTGTGTGCCTCTCCTCAAATGAGTATGAAGACTGTCCGGGCTAAGAAAGCCCCTTAGCAAAGGAAGCAAAGTGAGACCTGGGCATCTACCCTAGCCTAACCTGATGTGTGTTTCTAAAGTGAGGACTTGAACTGACTTCAGAGTTGATTCAGGTGTATGGCTCAAATAGTACAATTAACAGAATGTCATGTTAATGGTCTTACATCCTTTCTTTTTTTCTTAGACTAATTGGGCACCAATAGAACACATATAGAAACAAATGTAAATTAATTACAAAACATAACAATACCACACAAGCCATAAATTCTTACTGAGAATTATGAGAAAGTACTCAAAATAATTCTGCCAATTTGGGAAAAGGTTGTCATAGCCACTGCTGGTAGAAATATAAATAAGAGAGGTCTTTATTTTTTAGGATGGAACAAAATGACACACTGTGTATAAAATAAAAAGTACATACAAGAATTATCTTTTACAGTGTTACTAAACCTATTTGAGTACAAATATTGACAATCATTAGAGAATCAAAGTGATGATAATCAAATACACAGCAGGGTAGTATTTTGACTTTTTTGAATCATAGGGACATTCTTAGCTAGTTAAATTCAGTTCTTCTTGGTCAAGGAGCAAGTATTCTGCATGTGCTTTCTTGTTCCTTATCCCAAGGAGTACAAGTTTCCTATCTTTCAGCTCATTGAAGACTTTCTCCCTGGTGAGAAGTTACAAGCAATCCACAACTCATTTCATTTCTTATCCTCTGAATCTTTCTGCCCGGCCCTTGGGACTGTCTCTTAGGTGTTTTTCTTGGCCAATGAGAAAGGAGAAGAGTGACCCTTGCGCCACCACCAAAAGATCAGGAGGATAGAAATTTCACAGAGAACACACAGATCAGCATTTCAGAACGCAGCCTTGCCGTAATACCAAACACAGATAGAGTATGAAGGTGGGTGACTGCCCATTCCTCAGGCCTGAGTATACCAACATTGCAATCTGCAAATACAGCCTTATCCATTTCTTTCTTTTCACTGTCCTTTAAATTAAGTCATTGCCTTTAGTATTTGATTTACAATTCCTGCAGTTTCACAGCACAGTGTAATTTTTAATTTCATCGCCTATGACTTCCCTTCCTAATAATTTTCACCATCTGACAAGTATTTTCTCATTTCACTTCCACCAAATTTATAAATTTAAGTATCTCTATGCTCATATTTTCTTATTAAATTGTCAGACCCGGGCTTGTCTCAAAGGACAATAGCGCCCTGAATCCCAGTGTGGTTTCTTCCCTGAAGTATTTCATTTCTGTAGAAAACTCTTTTATTTATATGCTTTTACTTCCTCATTTCCCCTTTGCCTTGCTGTCTTTGCACTGTCATTCCCATCAGCAAAAGAATATAACACAGTGTTAAACCAGTTTAGAAACACAGCAAAGTCATCTTTGAGAAAATAACTAATGATTGCCCTTTTCTGGTAAAATTTCTTGGAATAATGATTCACTTCATGAGTTGTCTCAACTGCTTCCTGTCTTCTTCACTCTATGGTCCATGCTGTCTGCCCCTACTATGGTGCCATTTTACTAGAATTTTTCATGTCATGGTCACCAATGACCTTGATCTGATCAAAATCAGCCCTCGGTCTGATATTTACTTAACACATCAGCCTATTAGGTAAGCATGGGTGAACATTTTGAAACAATTCTCATCTTGATTTTTGCTAACTTTTTCCTTGTGACTCTTAGTTTGACACATATAATTTGATATACTACCACCTATTCTATTACATAAACTGATATACATTTAATAAGTACTTTTAATTAATCAATAAAGCACAGTCATTTTAACATTTTGTAGAAAGACTCTAATATCTATACAGAAATAAATGTACATATTTTTTTTTCTTTAAACAAAATTTTCAAACTCTAGAAGATACTCTTCTGAGAAAAACTGTAATATTATTAAGTTCTTTTATTTTTATTTGACCTGCCTGCATCATGTTTTGCATAGTATGATTTCTTCATATCAAACTATCCTTCATCATTAATGTTCATATTATCTGTTTAGGTTTTGTCAATGCTTTAATTCCTAGGTTTATTGTTTTGTCACTTTTTTTTTTTTTTGCAGTACTGTGGGATCAAACTCAGGACCTTGCCCTCATGACGCAGGTGTGGTGCCACTGAGCTAAATCCCCAGCCCTGTTTGGTGATTTTTTTATTTAAGGTTTTTATATAGGGAGAGGATGCTTAATTATATTAAATACATTTGTAGTCCCTTGTAGCTTACTCAATTTTTATTTACTAGACCATTGTAGCTGATCTCGACTGGGTGAAATTTTGCTTCCCAGGTGACACCTGACAGCATCTGGAGAAATTTTTGGTTTTCATAACTGAGAGAGATGAAGATATTATTGTTACAAGTGGGTAGAGACCACACACGTTGTTGCTTGTCTCACAGTGCAGGGGACGAAGGGCCACAGTGAAAGGCTATCTGGCCTCCAATGTCATCAGTGCTACGATTGAGAAATTTAGTTCTGAAGTTAATTACATCTACAACCTTTGCTCTCTAGATCTGTGCAGTTTGTAAGAACCAGTACTTCTGGTACACATCTAGGCTCAACCCACAAAGAAATTAACTTTTGAACTTTTCGACAGAAATGTCAATTGGGACAGATAACAATAAAGCCCTACCAGGCAATTTGAGAGTTTTTCAATCAGTGTGACACCAAATTTTCACATCTGCTTTTGAGCTGATTGAATATAGAATTTCCCGTCTATATCTCAGATATATATATTTCTGAAATACTTATTTTAAATAACCTAGGTTAGATACTACTGAAGGCTGCATTCTCTGATTCTTTTCTCCTCCTTTTCCTCTAGCCTTTCCTGCTTGAGAATCTTCACTGTACACAGGCAGTACCGAAGAGAAAGTCATAACATAATTCTTACAAAGTAGATCAGTCGTATTCAGTTTTGGTAATCTATTAATTTCAAGCAAGGTTTGTCATAGCCTCTTTAAAAATATTGATTAATCCAGATATAGCAAAATCCTTATGAAGAGATACTAGTATCCTCTCCACTTTGCCTGAGATGGACCTAAAACAAGATAGGCTAGACGATCTAAGACCTTAGAGCCAGTAGACCATGAAGGCAGTGTGGCTCCAGATTCTGTAATTCTCACTACTTCACCACATTACCTTTTCCAGAAAGAAAGAAAGACATTAATAGGATGAAAAATAAACCCTTTGATATAGGTGATCAGGTCAGAGAAATTGTTTGGGCTAAGATGGCTTTCTTCATCTATGTACAGTGCCCTTAATTATATTAAAATACTTCCTCAAAGAAAAAAGTAGCAGGTACTCAGTGTTTCAGGAAAATAAACAAAATAATTTGAACAAAAGCTTACAAATTAAGAAAATCTATTCTAACATCTTAATTTCCAAATGTAAATAAATACAGTGCTTTCCTTTTGATCAAAATATATTTCAGCTATGGAGCTACTGTTATAAAGTACGGTGATAAAAAATAGTCTCTATTTTGCCATTTTAAGACCCTAGTGTGTGTCAGCTATGGTGTTCCGCTATGCACATTTATTTAAATCTTCATAGATTTGGTTTAAATATTCAAGGAAGCAATCCTCATTATATTTGTTTTAGAGGTGGGAATTCTGAGACTATAAGAGGTGAATTGACTTCTCAAGGTCATGAAGGGGACATTAACTCAGGTGTTTCTCCCCCTACAAAGCCCTTCCTGCTTTCACACTGGCAGCCTTCATTAAAATTTTGCATTCTGATCATGGTTTGTGAAAGCTAAAATTAACTTTGCTAAGGTAAGAGATTTTTCTCCCCCTTTAAACTCTTAACTAATCTAAAGAGATACTTAGAATGAAAGCACTTCTCAGGGAAGGCATTCACAAATAGCAATTTAAAGGAATTTAAAGTGGTGATGGGTTATATTGGAGGAAGACCAGATTCTGAAGACATCTTCTATCATAATCAGGAGGCCTGTGTTTATTTTATTATCTTTTTCTGAGCCTTGTGGAATCTTAATTTTGTGCTGCTGATGTTAGTATTTATTAAACATTCTACTAAGGGGAAACCACATTCATTGTTGAATACCCGTGCACCTCTCTAAGAAGGTGAACAAAAAAAAAGTGTCTAGTGGTGCTTGACTGTTTTGTAGTCCTTGTTTGATTCCAGATATATTGGTTTGTGTTGATCACTGTTTTTCTTTTTTAAAAAGTAAAAATGTAAGGACTTGAATGCTACACTTCTGAGAATTTAGGATTTGCTGTGAATGTAGGTAATATTAAAATTTAAAAATGAGCAACCTTTTACACTGAAATATATTTAATTTCTGTAGCTTATCACCAGCCCCCATCTGTTGAAGTACAAGAAATTCCCCGAAGAGATTCTGGAGACTAGGACTGACATCCAAAGCAAGGCCTTTAGAATAAAGGATTAAAGCCTAAAGGACTCAGTTCAGAGGAAATTCATACGAGACAGAGAAATGAGAGACAGGAGGAAGAAAGTGGCTGCAAAATATGAAGAAGGAAGGCATGTGTGAAGAACAGAAATGGAATACACAAATGCCCTTTGGAAATCGGGGACAGTCGGCTCTCCTGCCTGTGTTGCTAAGAGGTACAAAACTGAAGCAGGAACTCTAACATTTGCAAACTTCACCCCCAAGAAACAACAACCATCCTTAAACTACTTTCCCCTTCCACCCCCCCCCAAAAGATAACAAGAGTAAATGATCTCAATAAGAAATGTTAGGTGTGAAAGGGATTGAGGTTTTTAGGTGGGAACTGTCACTTAGCTGTTGTAACAATATTTACTCACGTTACACACGGCTAACACAGTAGTTAGTTACCTTGTCACTGTTTCATAAGTACTCCTGGACCCTGAAAGAAGCCTCTACCATTGTATTTTCCTTAAGTTTAATTCCTTAAACTGGTAGATTTAACTTGGAGTTAATGGGAACTTTTTGTTTAATTGAAGAATGCATTCTTGGTGCTGATTACTAATTAAAACCTAGCATTTGTGTAATGTGAATAGATTACCGATTTTTGGACTTCCTGGCTTAGTGGGTGCTTGACTTTTTGCTCTCGATGTAACAACTAATATATGTGGCTCACTTTGATTATCTATTTAACTTTTGAAATAAAAAAAGATAAAATGTGTTTTGGGTAAGTTTGCCTAAACTGACTCCATCCCTCTGCCTGGTAATCTGAGGGCGACACTGGAATATCTGAAGTGTCACCTGCTCTTTTGCAAAGTGGATGGCTCACACCATTGATACCAGTCCTTGTTAGACTTATGTGATTGGCTTAAATTTTCGTGTGTATTTTGTGATATTTGGGATAAATGATGATAAATAGAAAGTCACATAGAAATAACAATGTAAAATTATTGTCCCGAAGGAGGTGACTGGCAGATGACAGAAAGATTAATAAAATTAAATCTTGTGTTATTAAGATGTGTTATAATACTACAGCAGTTACATACTTGTTGGGATGGACAGTCTCTGAAAAGTTGCATAGCAACCAACATTCTTCATTTTGCACCCTCCCCCTTCAGTGGGACTTACACACTTAATGCTTTGGATTTATAAAACAACCACTATAACATTTATGAATTGGTTTTCCCACACAAGTCTGTGTATTCTAGAACTAAAATTGGTTTATAGATCTGTAATTGTTATTTAGTAATAGAATGAAATAGGAAGATATGGAGTTTATAGCTAATCCAACATATTTAAATTCAGATTCCTTGCTCTTGGTTTGGGGTGCAGATATCTGAATTACAAACAGTCATAGTAACCTATGCTGCCCTGGAAACTCTAGGTTACAGGATCGGTTCAGAAAGTAAGGAAGTTTCTCTACAACGGAGAGTGTTTCATTATGAAAAACGTTCAAATCTAGGAGTAAGAGAAAGTTTCTAAACCATTTGTTAGGGAGAAGTTGTCTAAAATGTATTCCTTCTTTGGCAAATTAGTATACTGATGCTTATATAAAATGTGTCCACTCAGATATTAGCTGCCTTCTAACTTGTCTCTCATCTAGTCTAACAGTTCTCTCTCTGAAAGTCAGCCAGGCACATGGGCAAAGCTATTTGTTTAAATTTCAATCTTATAGCAACTTCCAGAGCATGTAATGACCTGTAAACATTCCTGGGTAATATACTGTATAGTATGTTAATAATTTGAAAAAAGTGAAAATTTCCATTAAAACAAACAAAAAACAAAGCAAACTGTCCAGTGGAGCAAAAATTAAGCCTGCAAACTTTATCCACAAAAAACAACTTGGAAAAGCTAGGAAAACATGTTTTTGTAGTTGGATTTTTATCTATATGAGGATAGGAATAATTTAGTGTTATTATGCACATAGTAACAATGGTATTTTATGAATAAAGATATTCCAGTATTCCTAATAATAATAAGATATAGTGGAGAGTTTCCCAATCTGTAAGGAGATAATACATGTAAGTTGAATTAATTATTCAATACAATATTATACAGCTATTTAAACTGACATTTTATTCAGTATATAACTACATGGTGTTTTTCTTTTAATTTTAAGTAAAAAAGGAATGAAGTAACACAATGTATAAGTCATATATGGTATATCATGTGAAGAATTCATTATAAAATAAAATATACCAAAAGATTAGTTCATTCACCTATAATTTATAATAATTTTATTCACTTATCTGTTCAGATACATTTAATATTCAAAAAATACTTAGGCTATTACAAACATTGCAAACAGATGTGAATGCATGAGAGGGAATTTAAAAAATCCTCACAATAATGGAGAGTACTCTTAGCTGGTTCTGATTGTCAAGAATGGGTGTGGTTTAAAATTCTTGCCTCTGAACTTGGTATCCTTTTTATGAATGATGAGAATTAACTTTACAGTGGGAAACAACTAAAGCACAAGCAATAACGGAACTCTTAGCACTCTTCCATGTTCTTTACTAAACCAGATGTTGAACGTGGTTAAATGTAACCCTGAAGTGACAGCCGTGTCCCATTAGTATTGGGAGAGACAATACCTTTTATTTAAATCACAGAAGAGACTCCCTGGCAGTGTCTAATGACCTAATCAGAAATAAGTCTAAAATTATTGAAAATGTAGAGCTTCCTTCTTATGGAAAATGTGATAGAAGCTGTGAAGATGACACTTGGCAGCAGCCACTTAGCTACATGGGACACAATGATTGATTAATGTACATTTTGCTTACTCACAGTAAAAGTCACAGACAGCAGCATTAATATAAAGTTTCAACAATCAACTCTGGTGATCTCACATCTTTTTCTCTCTTTTGCTGAACAGTAATTCTTACATCAGAATCCTCCGTCTTGTTCCCGATTTTAGTCATTTATAAAAAATGTCCAGGCACCTGCTAACTATTTTGAGAATGGCTGAGACACTTTTCACATAAATACCTCCAGCCTTGGAACAGCAAATCCCCTCTGAGAAAATAGTCATAGCCTGTACCCCATTTTCCACAGGGGTTCGAAAATCATCCTTTTCTACTTCACAGGACAAAATGACAGACCTCAGAGAGCACCATCAAACTGTCTTGATAATTTCCTGTTATCTTTCTGGCCCAGAAATCTAGCATGTCTGCCTTTTTGTGCTCATTTTCCTGAGTGGAAACCTCAGTTCTCCAGACAGTATAGTTGTCAAGCTACAATCTTAAATCCCAAATCCTAGCACTAGAATTTGGAATCTTCACCTGAATCTTTCCACATAGTTTCTTTTTTCTGGATGCTCTCATCTATTTGAATTTTAGTCTAGGTAAGCACTTCTGCAGACTGTATTACATGTGCTACAAAATTTTCTAAATGCAGAAAACAACAACAAGCAATTATAGATTATTCCTTCCCACTTCACTAGCTTTACATTCTGCAGTGCAGCTAGTTCAAAACTTCCTTCTAACCAATCTAGTCCCCTCTTTATTTAGCAAGGGATATTTCAACAGCTCAAGCAGTGGCAAAAGCAAAGTCATTTCTATGGTAACAAGGATATTTTAGCTAAATAAAGTGTGTTTTTTTTTCTTGCGTTATATTTAGTTCAGTTTATTTTCTGTTGCTCAATCAAAATACTGAGACCAGGCAATTTACAATGAATAGAAACTTAGTTAGCTCCTGATCCTGGAGGCTGGAGAGTCCAAAAGCTTGATGTCAGTATCCATTTAGCTTCTGGTGAGGACCTTCTGACTGGTGGGGACTCTGCTGAGTTCATGGTGCAATAGGGCATCACATGGTGAAAGAGGGAGATGGGGGGGCAGTGAGAGTGTTATAATAGACTCACTCTGTGGTATCCCTTTGCCCCTTGATCCATTTAATAAAGCAGAGGCCCCCTGACCTGATCATCCTTTAAATGACCTATTGGGTTCCACCTCCTAAAACCTCATGTTGGAGATCTGAGTGCCACTTAGGTCGTGCTACGGACACTCAGACTCTAGCGCTGCAAACAGTGAATTACTAGGGGAACTAAAGACTTCATTGATGTATACTTCTTGGCTCTTAGAGCTACAAGAGCCCAGAAGCTGCAGCATGGTCAGGTGTCAGTGTTTTTTCTGCACAAGTCAGTACACTGAGCTCAACCGAGCTAAGGATGAAGCTCTACAGGGCTTCTTTTGTTCTTCAATCAAATTCTATCCTGTTCTACCCCTCAGGCTTCTTCCGCCTTGCAAACAGGGATGAGGGACATGAATAGACCGCTGTGATGCAGAGGACCTTGGACTCCCAAAGTTTGCCAGGTCTTCTTGGCCAGTAGAATAAGTCCTTATTCTTTCATCTCAAAGACTTCAGGTAAGTTTGTATGATGATACTGATTTTCCTACAGTCATCTCCCTTACCAGCTAATGAATGCACTTGCTCAGAAGGCACAGAGAATGAAGTCAAAAGAAGAGTTTGCAAAGTGAGTCTTATTCAACTTGCAAAGATCTTTTTAAAATCTCAGTTTGAATACAACCGTACAAAGCATAACACAATTCACTAGATCCTTCCCCATAATTTAGCTATAATTACTTAGCTTTCTCATTTCCTGCCACCAGCACTGTCCTGTTCCTGCCCTGCCAGCCACCCTCAGAAGGTGGCCTGGAAAAGATGTGCTAACCACCCCTTTTGTAGAAAGCACCTTCTCTTTTTATCTGCATTTCTTCCCTCCTCAAACTTCCCTCTTATACTGAAGTGCTTTGTTGGAAGGAGGGTGGTTGTGTGTGTTTGTATGTAAAAGGAGTGACCCAAAATTACAGTGCAAGTTCACATTCTAAAAACTCATCACAAATGTAAGTCACATTGCTCTTAATTCCCCTCAGAATACTTCCCCTCACTTTGAACATACTCATCCCACTGTTCTTGCCAATTTCTGAAGCAGTTCTGGAAGGTCTTTTCTGAGTGTGTTGACAAGGTGTGGTCAGAAGTACAGTGAATGCTGCAGCTGAGTTCAATCCAAGGGAAAGACACTTGTAAGAATACATTCGTGTGTCTTCCGCTACCTGATGAACTGGACTGGCACTGTGAAATGTTGGCTCTTCTCTAATACCAAACTGACCTTGAAAGGTTGAAGCTTGGTTCTTAGACATGTACATGTTTATAGTTATTATCTCTTTTTATGAAATTGACAGTGTTAATATTATAAAATTTTAGAATTGTCTCCACTAACATCTTTTCTTAAAGGTGATTTTGTATATTACTTTAGTCAGCCACGGTCACAACCAAGCCATATAATTGATGATTTTCATTATATTTTCCTTTTCCTTTCAATCTATTTGATACTTTGCATTAAAGTGCATCTCTAGCAGATAATAGGTTTACTATTCATAATTTTTAAAAAATTTATCATTTGATTGGACTATTTAATCCATTTATATTTAATGAAATTATATTTGTCATTTTAGTGCTCATTTCCTATACATCTTTATCCCCTTTGTTTTCCTATTACTATTTTCTTTCATATTAAGTATATTTTTTTCTAGTGAGCCAGTTTGATTCCTTTGTCATTTCCTTATTTTTGACAGTTATGATCTTGGTTATTGGTATGGGGATTAAAACTGGTATTTTAACATAAAACATTCTAGTTTATATTAATATAAATTTCTAAATTTTTCTGGTGCCCATGGATTAAGCTCTTAATGTTTTGTTAATCTCTTATTCACAGTGAGTCATTCTCATGTTGCTTTAAAGATTCTTACTTTGCAGTTTGGTAGTTCAACTGTTTTATTTTTGGGTCTGAATATTTTTAAATTAAATTTATCCTAATCAAAGTGCCTTGAAATTCTTAAATTAATGTTTTTCACTAAATTTGAGAAATCCTCCAAAATTATTTTATTTTTTGAAGATATTTTCTCCTCTGTGTGTCTCTGCTTTCTTTTCTTTTCTTTTCTTTTTTTTTTTTTTTAATTTTCTGGGCATTGGTTGTTCTCAAGTTTTGTCTATTTTTTTCTTTTTGCTTTTTTTTTTCTCAGCACCCATTCGTACTACCCAATGTTCAATGCCTTTTGTGGAACTGGTGCAGGTGCATAATACATTTTAATTCCTTTTTTTCCATCATCTTTTTGCCCCTATCTCCCTCCATCTCTTGAGCCTCTTCCCCCTTGAAAAAGATCTATCTCCCATTCCCTATTATGTATCTTTAATTCTGCTCTTTATTTATAATCTGGGCTTCTCAGAGAAGAGAAACTGCAATATTTAAACTCGTGTGTCTCCGAAGAGATAAACTACAGGGATACAGCCCCCATGCTTACAGCACCGCGACTCCTCCTTGCTCTCCCTCTGATTCTCATTACCCCCATAGTTATCAGTATCCTGACAGTGCAGCACTTGCCTCTGAGGGTCCATGTGCTTTCGTCATTCTTTTTTTTTTTTTTTTTTATTCCTCAGAATGGATAATCTCCACTTTCCATGGAGATTTATTAAATCTTTTGCCCTCTCAAATTCATTCTTAGATCAATTTAATACTTCCTTTCAATTTTTGTACTTTTTAATTCAAGAATTTCTATTTGCTTTTTAAAAAATTTATCCTACTAATAATATTCATTTTTGGTAAGACGCCATTTTTGTACCTTTCAAATATTTTTCATTCTGTATCCTTCGCATTCTTTGAACATGTGCATAGTATCTGATTTAAAACGTTTGTTTACCAAGTTCAAGTATTGGGGAGGCTCAATATTAAATAACTATTTTCCTTTGTATGGATCATCCTTTCTTATCCCTTTGTGTGTTTGGGCTGTAGATTTAGACCAGTGTGTTGATGCCAGCGCCTGCCTGGCAAGCTCAAGATCCTGAATTTGATCCCTGGTTCTGCTAAAAAACAAACAAACAAATCCAACAAAACCTGATGTTTTATATAATATGTCAACTCCTAAAATCAGATATGACTCCTTTCTCTGCTTTGTTATTGATGTTTTGTTATTGTGGTTGTCACTATTTATTGAATGAGTTTCTTGAATAAATTTCACTGAGTCTGTGTGCCTTTCAATAGTTGCCGTGAAGTCCATGCTTAGCTTAGTGATCAGCTAAGGATTGGCCAAAGATTTCTTTAGAGGTACGGAGTCTTCAAATCTTGCACCATCTGCTGAAAGGCTCTGTGTTTGAGACACTCCTTAAATCCTTTGTAGTTTACTAAGCTGCCTTAGCCTTCTTTTACTTCTTCCTCAGGGATTCAAAGGCATTCTGAACTTAGAAGCTGGTGCCCTTTTGAGTTTTTCCTAAGCACATGCACAGTATTTGGTCTTTTAATTCATAAAGAATACAAAAGAATGTTCATGGCTCCTCATGAGCATTGTTTCTCCCAGGCATTACTGCTAAGTTTTTAGCTTAGCTCTTGTTTGTCCCCAGCCTCTCCACAGATTTAGGTACCTTGTATTTTAGACAGTTGCAGCTGATTAGTTTTCTCAAATGTTTTGTGGATATGCTTTTTCCCAGTGGATCCATTTAGAGTCTGTTCAGATAAGGACCAAGCTTTTGAATGGGGCTCTGCCAGGAAACTGTGATCCATCCAATAGTAACAATGCTCTGGGAATGAAGCTCTGTAAAGTTACCCAAACCTTGTCTGACCTGTGCTTGGAAGACTTGGTTTTTAAGACTGCCACAGTGCTGGTGAGAGAGAGTAAAAGTAGACTTAAGAAAGTGTCACAAATATCCACTCTTCTTGCTGAACTTGAGCAGCTGGTTTGTTTGTTTGTTTGTTTTATTTTGTGATAAATGCTTCTCAGATCGTTGCAATTCTTTGGTTAATTTCTAGATATTTGAAACGTTGATTTGAACAATTTTGCCAGTGTTTTGTTGCCTGTGCAAGGGAAAAAATACTGCACAGATTCTCATTTTACCATCCTCAAGCAATTAAAAACTTTCTAGTTACTAAAAACATGAAAAGAAAAACTTGGGCTGACCATTTCAACTTTTGCTCATTTTCCCCTTTTTACATGTGCCCGATGCACTTGCCAACAACCAAGTGGCTTTATAGTTTAATACGCTTGAATTCTACTAAATTGTTTATGGTCTCTCAAGCTTTCTGCTAGACATACAATTCCAGATAACTGTGGTAAATAACTGAAATGTTTGTTTTTTCCATTGCATGCCATGAACTACCCACAGTCTGCTACCAGCACCTGTGGTATAAGTGGCTTTAAATCTTACTCATCAGAAAAATAAAATTTTTATTACACCCTTAAGATTAAGATCCTTGGGAACTGCTTCCGGGATCAATATGATTATCTGTCAGAAAAGCAGAGTTGCCATGTGATAGCATAACATATTATTAAAAAGAATGAGAAATTAACACTTTCTGGGAAGAAAAGGGAAATGCAACTCTCACAAAGAAGCTGAAATTCCTGGGTGTTCCTCTGCAAGCACGGGCCATCCTGGAATACAAGGCTGTCTTGGATGTCTACTGGACCCACCTGCCAGGTGGGATCACCGAGGGTAGATTCAGGGAGATGTCTATGGGAAAGGCTTCCTAGATCTGTCACAGTAGCCTATGGAGGCAGTTGGCAAACAAAGCCAACAATCAGAAAAAAATAATCTAACTGAGGGAAAAGAAGAGGAAGGGAGGACAATTCATGTGTCCTTTCTAGTCTGTTCAAAACCATTTAGAATGAAATGGTAGCTGCTTACTTTGCCTTCGGATTCTCAAATGTCATTCAGGAAACTGTAACTCCGTCACATGGGGCAACAAGTTTTAGGAAAGTTAGTACCTTAATCAAGTTGACAATCTCAAGTCTCATGCAGGGCTCTACCACAGAGGTGGAGCCTTTGAGATGAGATGGGGCTACGGTCTTGAAGAGAATCTTGCAGGTTAATGTTTGTGTTTGCTGTCTTCAGGATCCTATTAAAGGACGCATCTGAGCCTTTGCTTCCTTATAATGGTTTTCCATGACCACCTCATCAGTAAGACACTCCACACCCATTACAACCACTGATCTTCTTAATTAGCTTTTATTTTTAGTGGAACTTTTAAATAGAGCCAATTATTTATTTCTTTTCTAGTTTAAATTCCTCCAGTCTGTTGTTGGTCTCCATCGTTGGAAAATAAGTTCCCCAGGACAAATAACTTCATCTGTTTTATTTCCTGTTGTGTCCACGACGTTTTAAGTAACAGATGGCACTTGGAGTGAACACTGCTATATTAATTAATTGGAACCAGAATTCATCCTGATAATGAAATGTGTTTTATATTTTCATTATCTAGGTATTAATAAAAAGCTACAATTGACCATGTCATTTGTTACCTCGCTCTCAATGTGTATTTGTTGCAGTAATGATTGGCTAAAAAT